AAACAAACAGACAAACAAACAAATCATCTCTGTGAGCAGGTTGGGGAGTATTTCATTGGTAAGAATGGAATTTAGGAATTGCTCAAATATGGAAAAGAGAGATGTCCACAAGTAGTGCAAGATGAATAGTGACAGTGAGTGATCAAGGAGATGTGGTAAGGTTATGCTTTTCAAACTTGGTCAGGTGCCGCTTAACAGGAGAAGTAAAGGAATAAGGTAGGCAAGAAGGAGCAATGTCAGGAGTAAACCCACCTGTCTTTGTAATCACATCTGCCTTCTTTTTAAAGTTTGGAATTCCTTACCACTGGTTGTTGGAGGACCCATATTTTATAAATAATGTTCATATAGCTTTATTACCAAATTCCCACTTTTTAACTCTTGCAGCATCTTTTTTTGATATTTTTCAGATACCAAGCTTAAGGACTTTGCACACAAAGAATTGTGTGAAATTCTGTATTATAGAATCCCCTGTAATCTTACCATACAGAGAAAAATTACTATTAATACTTAGTGTATCTTCCTAGACTGTTTTTTAGTCTTTGTTTTCCAGTTAGAATTATAGTATCCATACTATTTTGCCATTTGTTTTTATATATCATGAAAACATTAACATTGAAAGTCTTCTACAACATGATTTTAAAACTGTATAATAGTTAATCATAGGGAGGTATCGTAATCTATTGTTAGGAATTTGTTATCTCCAATTTTTCACTACTTTTTATGAGGAACATTTTTATACATGGATCTTTTTGCATATCTCTGATTGATTTTGGCATAAATTGCCAAATTTCTTTAGTGAAAAATATAAGCAGTTCTTGTGTCTTTGATATGCTTTGTTAAATTGTCTCCCAGAAAGGTTAAACCAGAAATCAAAATTTTTATTTCTCTGTGTTTTCCCCAATTTGGCTTAAAAAAAAAAAAAAGAAAAAGAAAAGGAAAAACAAAATAAAACACCTTTTCATAACCTGTTAGTATTTTTGTTGATGTTTGCTTGCCTTTAAAGATTCTTCATTTAAAACTAGGAAGAATTTGAGAAGTAAACATTTTATGTATAATATTTATTTACTTAGTTTTGCTATCTGACTTTCTCCCTAAATGTTTTACTTTTCTGATCTAATTTCATTTAATTATGATTCCCTTTGCTAATAAAATAAGGTTGCAAAGATAACAGGAAGTATTTCTATGTTCTTAGATTTTTGTGGTCAAAAGCCGAGAAACTGAGTACACATAACTTTACCCCCTTGCCCTTTGGTATTATTCTTCTTCTTAGAAAGGAAAATGCAGCAAAGCATGAAATAAAACAATGTGATAGATGGTATGAAGGTTACAGTGACAAGACATCAGAGAACAGACAAAAGATCTGTAACACAGCATTTCCTTCCTTTTGTGATTAGTTGTATAAACCAGAACATTTGTTTTCAACTAAATTGTGTATTAGTAGATTATCTAGTCCACTTGGTATCATTAAAGGAAATAAATTTGCATTGAAATACATAAAACATTAAAAAGCCTAGTAATATGAATAACTTTTAAGATTGCTATAAAAGATTTTGGTTATGGAGTACTGCCTGTATAACTGAAATGTCAGGGAACTGAAATGATTTTCACTAGGTCCAATGAATTCCAGTTGAGATTGTGGGTTTAATGGAATCTGTTGCTTTTGGGGAACAGAATTAATACTTAGTGCGGATTCTAAGGTTTTCTGGAAAAAAAAAGAAAAGAAAACAAGGATATATTGTCAGGGTGCCAAAGTAGTGTCTAAAACTGATTTGAAAATTTAGCTTAGTTGCCAGTTATATGTTTTTACTCTAACTTACTTTATTTGATGTTAAGTAAGCAATTTGAGTTTATAATAGAGGTTGGCAAACAATGGCCCATATTTTTCTATGGCCTATGAGCTATGAATGTTTTTTACATTTTTGGTTGAATAAACACCTGAACATATTATTTTGTGATGTAAAATTATATGGAATTAAAATTTCAGTATCCATAAATAAAGTTTTATTGGAATAAAGCCATGCTTATTCATTTATATGTAGATGATGGCTGCTTTTGTGCTTCAACAGCAAAGTTGAATAGCTACAACAGAGATCATACGGTTGGAAAAGCCTAAAATATTTTCTCTTAGACCCTTTATAGAAAAAAAAGTTTACTGATCTCTGATCTTACATTTGTAAAGTCTAATCCACCTTCAGTTTTTTTTATGCATTCATAGTTTTTTTTTTATGGAAGGTGCTTAATATATTGCTTACATGAGAATACCTATCCTAGTCTCTGGATATAGAGAATTCCCACTTTACAGAGTGGTTTATTTGGAATATTAGGAGGAAAAGTGCAGAGACTTCAGTTTTGGATTTCCATCTTTAGTTTTGATTTAGCATTTAACCCTAAGGAAATAATTTTTTTAAATGTATTTTCTTTTCAGAGAAACTTAGCAGTTAATATTCAATTGTGATGCAGGTCTCATAGGCGTTCCTAAATTCTTTTTTTTTTATAAAACACAATTGTGACTCCTATATAATGCTGTAGATCTGAGGCTCTCAAAATGTGGTCTTCAGACCTCTGGGTATTCTTAAGGTCTTTTCAGGGGCTCCACAGGCAAAAATATAGAAGAGATAATAGTATTAGGATATTTTTTGCCTTTCCACTGTGTTGACATTTGAACTGATTATGCAAAAGCAGTGGGGGTGAAACTGCTATGTCTAGGCATGAATCAGGACAGTGATGCCTGACTCAGCAGTAAACATTGCATATACTTGTAGTAAAACCAATGCTGATTTTTCTTAAGAATGTTTTTGATAAATCAGTGAAAACTGTTAATTTTATTAAATATCAGCCTTTGGGTACATGTCTTCTTGAATATTCTGCATGACAAAATAAAAAAGATACATATAAAGCCCTTTGCATACTGAACTATCAGTATGTAGTGAGGAAAATCATTTGTGTAGTTTTTGAAGTTATGAGCCAAACCACTTGTTTATTTATTTATTTATTTTTTAATGGGACACTATTTTGCTTGAAACAACAATTGATAAACTATTGTTATTCAAACTTGTATACTTGGCAAAGTTTTTCTTGAAAGTGATTGAAGTAAGCTGACACTTCAAGGAAAACAACTGATAGTGTTTACTGCCAGTGATAAAATTAGAATTTTCAACCCCAAAGTAAGAGTTTTGGATCATTTCTGTTTGCTGCTTTTGAGTTTGACAGCTTCCATATACTTAAAGGATTTTCTGATGAGATTGGTGATGGTATTAACAATTATGATTATTTTGAATGTTGTAATAATGAAATGTGGGGAAAACATTTGGAAGATCTGTGTAACTCAGTAAACCAGTATTTTCAATTTGTTGTCACAAACTTAAGCATGGGTAAAAGATTCATTCAGTATACAAGATAGTCAAATGGATTTGAATGTAATAAAAATGGACATTTCATTGATAGAATCTTATATTTCACAGTACAGCTAGATTTAAGAAACTATTGCTTGTGGAGTTTTGATGTCTTATTAAAGAACAATATACACAGTAATCTGAAAAGAGTACGAAAACACTTGTTTCTTTTTCAATAGTATATCTATGTGACATTTTCTTCATATCTTTTGACCAAAAAAAAATATGACAATAGATGGTATGTAGAATCAGATATGTTCATCTTCTCTTAAGCTGGACATTACCAAGATTTTCCAAAATCTTCTCTCAATAGATATTTTTGTTTTGTCACATAGAAGTTATTTTTCATAGAATTTATCAGTGGTCTTTAATGTTTTATTTAAAAGTATTTCTCAGTCTTTCTTAGTATCAATACGATGTTAGTAAGTATTTAGAGATACAATTCACATTACCCAAAAGCTTTTTGGAATCACCATTTTTAAGAATGTGAAAGGAAGTTCCAAGGCCAGAAAGTTTGCTGTCTGTTCTTGTAGAACATGCTTAATTTACTATGAAATTAATTAAATGGGAGAAGAAATTCTTGCTTTTAAATATTAAATAGTTCAGTAGAATTTATTATTCATTTTTTATTTTTTGGTCTGAAAACTAAGTTACAAATATAGTCCAGCTTTGTTTCTAAAACAGACCAAAACAAAATTGTCTAAAATTTTAATTCTTTTTTTAAAAATATTTATTTTTTAGGGGGCTGAGGCTGTAGCTCAGTGGTAAAGTGCTTGCCTCGCATGTATGAGGTACTGGGTTCAATCCTCAGCACCACATCAAAATAAATAAAGATACTGTTAATTTACAATTAAATAAATATAAAAAATTATATTTTTTTAGTTGTAGTTGAACACAATACCTTTGTTTTATTTATTTATTTTTATGTGGTGCTGAGGATTGAATCCAGGGCCTCACACGTGCTAGGCAAGCGCTCTACTGCTAAGGCACAACCCCAGCCCAAATTTCAATTCTTTAAAAAATCTTAATAGCGTACATTTTCCAGATGTGCATGGGTACCTGAAGGCATACCTAAAGATGCATTATTTAATCATTATATAATTTTTATTTAATTGTCATGGTGGTTATAATTTCATGATAGTCTATTATGGCTCATATGCATTAACAGTTTCTCATTTAGAAATTTGCCCAATAAGTAAAATTTAAGGAACTTCCTCTTAGTCACACAGTACGTTTTAAGAACTGGTATTGAAGTACTTTTTTGGTATGACTCCAAAACTCTTACCCTTTGTGCCTTATGATAATGCTGTTGTTTACAGCAAGCAACAGTTTTCAAGATCTTGGTTTTGATAACAAGGCTAGATCAAAGCTTGTCTTCAATTTTAGTTTGGTGATTAAGGTAAGCAAATTGTTTTCCAGGGTTATAAAGAGATGGTATAAAAGTAAATGAACTACGCTCAAATAAATTGCTAGACACTGACTTCCATCAGTAAATTACAGCCTTCCTAATTGAATTGGATTGTATGAAAAAATGAACAGCTAGAGTGATTTGTATTCTTTTGGCTGATGCTCAATTTAATATGTTTACTATTGTGATCATATTTCTAGGCTTCTCCAGTGACAGTGATCTGATATCTCTTACTGTTGATGTGGATTCTCTTGCCGAATTAGATGATGGAATGGCTTCCAATCAAAATTCTCCCAGTAGAACTTTTGGTCTCAATCTTTCTTCGGATTCTTCAGCATTAGGGGCTGTTGCTTCTGACAGTGAACAGAACAAAACAGAAGAAGAACGGGAAAGTCGTAGCCTCTTTCCTGGCAGTTTAAAATCTAAGCTTGGCAAGAGAGATTATTTGGAGAAAGCAGGAGAATTAATAAAGCTGGCTTTAAAAAAGGAAGAGGAAGACGACTATGAAGCTGCTTCTGATTTTTATAGGAAGGGAGTTGATTTACTCCTAGAAGGTGTTCAAGGTACAATTTTATCTACATTAATATGTTTCGGCATGTTCTTATGTTGGTATGTGGGGGAAAATGTACATATGACTATATCTTCTGTATAATCTTATATAGGAACAAGAATGAAAATGAGAAATTACTGAACTTCAAGTGAGATTATCAGAGGTACTTAACTCTATACTTTGATCAGTTAATCTACAAAAATGAGTTTTTTTTTTTTTTTTTTTTTTTTTTGTGGCGCTAGGGATTGAACCCAGGGCTTTGTGCATTCGAGGCAAGCACTCTACCAATTAAGCTATATCCCTAGCCCCCAAAATGGGATTTTTTTTTTTAATGAAGTCAACACATCTCCAAGTCTCTTGTACGAATAAGAATTTTTTTTCTTACTTGACTGCATTGTTCCTCAGAAGTATTCACAGAGATTCTCTAGTGCTTTTACTCTCAATGAAAAGATAAAATAAAATAGGCTTTTAAACCAAGAGCGTAAAAGGTTCTTGGATTTGCCTACCATGCTGTTCTTTGGGAGTTTAAAGAGGGAATTAATTACAAAAAATCTGCTCTGATGTTCCGGTGCTATGTGCTAAAACATCCTTGGCATTTAATTGACATAGATAGAACACATCAGAGTGCCATCTTTTTGTCTAAAAGTTATCTGCATTTAATCTTGAACACTTCATAATGTTACCACTTGATGGCACCAGAAAAATAAAAATCGTTGCTTCAAAATGAGAATTTTAAATACATATCAACCAATAACAAAAAATATTTCACTTAGTTACTTTGCTGGTTATGGTGGTTAATTATTTCTCCATTGGGACTTGACACTAATCCTACTAGACCTTTATCTTAAGGAATTTTTACTATTTAAACGTATTTCTCCTGTTTAACATGTCTGTCTGAAACCATAATATCCAGTCCTGTTCTGGATTGGGTTTTATTGTTAATGTGCTATTGAATCCCAAAAGTATAAATAATTGACTAACTGCTTTTAGTCCTTTTTTTGTTTATTTAGAATATGATAGTATTATTCATTTCTTATTTACTTACTTTCTATGTTTTTACTAAGCTGCCATCTTAAGAATTCTAATATTTTAACCCATATATAAAAGAACCTCTGTTTCAATCCTGATGGCTGTACATTTAACTCCAGTCTGTGTATTGTGTTTAAAAGTCTACCACCTAACAGACATGGACATTATCCTTTAATTTGTGGGAAAATTGGGGCTCTAGCTTGTGAATTTGATTTGGCATTTATGCTCAGAAAAGATGTTTCCTCAGGGAAAGTTTGTTCCAGGGTTACTGAAACATCATTAGAATCAGTAAAACCAATAGATAATTTTAATTTAACTCTTTTTATAACAGTTATTCCTTTGATCTTGGTTTGGATTAGCATGTTTATAATAAAAGCAGATAGAACACAAAAGTTATCTGGATATCTGATAATCCAGAGAAAATAATCTTTCAGAGCTATTTAAAAACACTTTACACAGAGATTTTGGGAGCTGGAAAATTTTGTTACTTCACTACTAAACTATTCATCCTAAAGGAGTTTATCTGGATTGTTAGTAGATCTGATAAAGGTGGCTTGATGTTTTTCTTCTTTAATTGGAGTTTGTGCAGCTGAGACTAGATGCAAAGCACAATAGCAGTGGTTCTCTTTGCCCATCCAGCAAAGAAGCACGCCTGCATAGTGGTAACTTCAGATTCTCTTTTTGAACCTGACACTTCTCTTATTCCTTAATCTAGAAATGGCACCATGGACTCTCAGGTCTTTATGGACTTAAGAGAGAAAATCTAAAAGTCAAGGTAGAAGGAGTCAATTGAATCTTTGGAGAGATTACTAAAATAATACCATCCTTTCATATCCATCTTGTTATACATTACTACAAGATGCTGATATGATTAATCTGTATTCTCATGGTGGGCTTCCTGGAATAGTTGTGATAATGTACAGTGGCAAATGGACTGCATAAAGGTGTTAATGAATGTTTAAGTAACAACTCATCTATTACATGCCTGTCACAGTAAAAAGGTGTTTTTCTTATGTTATTTTTAATCTTCAGGTCAACTCCCTAAGCTGAACCATGTCTGGTCATACTTGTGCTTTGTCTAAAGGTACCAAAATTTAGAGGGTACAGACATTTAATATAATGATTCTAAAAGCTTGGCACCTATTTAGCAAGAATAATTATTTAAAACAGGAAGCTACCAGATGGTGAGCATTGTTAGTAATACCCATCTGTGGGCTACATTATGAATTACAGAATTGATTTGAGAGCTGGTTTGGTATAGTTTGTTCCAGATGCCAAAATTGCTTGTTTGTAAGGTAGTTATTGTAATCCCCATTTTACAGGTGAAGGAACTAAGACTTGTATAAATGAAGCAATTTGCTCAGGGACACAGCCAGTTAGAGTTGAGCCAGAGCTTTAATCTAGGTTTTCTAAATCTAAATGTCTTCTTTCCACTATATTGTGCTACTTCTCACACATTACCCCCTAATTAGATAAGTTTTTTCAAATGGAGAAGCAGCAATTCTCCAGTATCAAATATGCTGTTTTGAATATAGTTACGGTTTAGGTAGGAGGTGTCCCCCCAAACTTCCTGTATTAATGCAGTCATATTTAGAGGAAAAACAATTAGAATATGAGAGCTTTAACCTAATCAGTCCTTCCTAGCTTGAGTGGACTAAACTGGTGGTAACTGTAGGAAGGCTAGGCATGATGGAGGGAGTAGGTCACTGGAGGCATTCCTGGAAGGGCTCACCTTCCCTGCAGACCCTTCCCTTTTTCGTCTCTGCTTCCTGGTTGCCTTGAGTACTTCTCTGTGATGGTGTTATGTCTCACCTTGAGCCCAGAGTAGTGGAGTCATTTGACCTTAGGCTGAATCTATGAAACTGTGGGCCTAAATAAACTTTTCCTCCTTTTAAGTTGTTCACGTTAGGTAATTTGTCATAGAAATGAAAGCCTAATATTCATTCTTTCCCATCGTCCATTGTTTATTCACCCAGCTACCACCAGGTTGATCATTTAGTAAGCATTTATTACTCACATGTATCAGACTCTGTGATAGGGAATATAAAATGTTTTTTCTTGTGAAAATATAAAATATTACTGAGTGGTGAATCTTCAAAATGAGATTTTTTGTCAATTCTATAGTATGTTAATAAGATCCATGATTGGGTAGTATTTATCTCATTGAAAATATTTGGTAGATGTGCTGCTTTAGCTATCCGTGTTACTTTTTAAAAATTTGATAAAAATGCCAAGATCTTCTAATCCTTTTCTTCATCTTCATTGTCCTCCTTATTTGTTCTTTATCCTCCTGTCCTCTTTCCTCTCCTTTTCTCTTGGTTTACATTGAAATCTCTTACATATGTTGTGATGAAATTTATAATGAAAAGACCTCCTAGATATCATTGATGCTTAATTTTTCTTTGAAAATTTTATTGATATTTTTGAGTACTCAGCTTACAGGTGCAAACCATTTTTTCTGTCATTCTTATTCTGTTAAATGGTTTAATAAGCAACACCAAGCCATTTTTCATAATTGCCCTATTCCTAGATAGATGTGTGCTAGGTTCTTAGGGCCATCCATACATTTTTCAAAAACTGTGACCTTATGTGTTCAGGAACACTGTATCATTCTGTGTTTCTCATTGGGTCTTGATTAGTCTTCCTGGGTGAAACCACAAACTCATGTCTACTTCCATATTTCTTTTGAGACACTTAAACTAGTTCCAAATTGAGCTATACTTTGCAGGGTTGTTTCTAGAACATGTTTAGTCCCTTTAAATGTGGCTAGTCTCTGTGTACTCATAAGAATATATAGTTAAGTGCTGTATAAAATAGCTGAGACCTTTGATTTATTCTTTTGAATAAGAATTACTCAAATATTTGGAAATGAACAGAATAGTCTTGTCTTCATCCTTTAGAATGGATGAACCTGAGAAAGGTTATCAGTCTTGGTTTGATAAAGGGAAGAAAGTCATATGATATTGTATTGTTGAATTTCAGAAATGAAAAATCACAACTTTGAGGTTTATTTGAATTATTTACAGTGTTTGTTAACTCAGAAGGTATTGTGAAAGTATTTTCTAGTTGACTTTAAGTTATTGCCCAATTTGGCATAAGTCCAGCAAAAGTGAGAGCTACATTTTTAGTGGATGATCGTGGTGTGATCATCTTGCCTTCAAATGCATTGACTTCTAGCATTTTTAAATTTATGAACCCCTTTGAGTTTTTTTTCCAGTATTATTCTAACTATTTAGGTCTCCTTGACATTTCATATAAATTCGAGAATTACTTTTTCTGTTTGTATAAAAAAAGGCAGTTGGAATTTTCATAGAAATTATATTAAATCTATAAGTTTTGGGAGTATTGCTATCTCTCAACAATGTTAAATCTTATCTATGAACACAAGGTGTCTTTTAACTTGTTTATATCTTTAATTTTCTTCAGCAATTTTTGTGGTTTTCAATGTATATAAGTTTTACCTCCTGGATTAAATTTATTCCTAGGCATTTTATTTTTTGAATGCTATTGCAAAAGGAATTTTAAAAATTCCATTTTTCTCTTCGGGCCTGGGGATATAATGGATATAGTGGTAGAGTGCTTGTCTAGCATGCATAAAACTCTGGGTTTGATCCCCAGGACAACACACACACACACACACACACACACTCTCTCTCTCTCTCTCTCTCTCTCTCTCTCT